TGTGTGTGTGTGTGTGTGTGTGTGTGTGTGTGTGTGTGTGTGTGTGTTGCGTGTGTTGCAGCTGGAGGTCAGTGATAACATCATCTCAGGAGGTCTGGACACGCTGGTGGAGAAATGTCCCGACCTGACGTCTCTGAACCTGAGCGGGAACAAGATCAAAGAGCTGAGCAGCATCGAGACGCTGGTGAGTTTCTGTGACATCACATGTCAGGTGACACACCTGCTGTGTGTTTATATTGTGTGTTCCATGTCGGCGTGAGACGCGGCCTGTCTGATCTCCGGTCAGAACCTTTCCTCGTGTGTTTTGCAGCAGAACCTGAAGAACCTGAGGAGTCTGTACCTGTACAGCTGTGAGGTTTCCACGCTGGACGACTACACGGAGGGCGTCTTCGAGCTGCTGCCTCAGCTCACGTTCCTCGACGGTTACGACCAGGAGGACAACGAGGTGCCGGACTCAGAGGCCGACAACGGTGAGACCGCGTTTAACAGGAAGTCGTGACAGGAAGTGTTTCCAGCGGGAAAGTAGAAAGTGACGCACGCGGCTGAGAAAGAGTCTGGCCCAATCCCAACGTCCCCCTTACAGACTCACGGACTTTGAGGCGCTCCCGCGAAGTCCGTGAGGGTTTAGTTCTGTCCCACTGTCACATCCAGTGTTTGAGGCTCTGGCAGACATGTTGAGCCCTTTATGAACCCTTTCCGTAAGTCAGCATCCAGATTTAGCCTAAGGGAATTACCCACAAGTCATTGCAATGTGACGTTAAACACGGGGTAACCAGTGGACGCATGGAGACGTAAACAAAGACGGATCACGTGTGTTCAGCCTGTCATATTACGTTTACTCAGAAACATTAAGGGTTAAAGATGGAACATTAAAACATGAAATCAGAAGATATTTATTTATTTATTCATCAAATGTTTGATTTCGTCATTGAAGCTGTTTTGACAAAACGAGTAAATAGATGATATGACGTTACCTCTCATCTAGTGAGGAAAGAGCCTGAAGACGTTCACATCAGGGAGTACAAAGTATACAATAAATACACACATTATACATCATATTTATTGTTGTTTTCATGGTAACGTGATATGTTGCAGCAACGTGCTGTCCCGTTCATATTCACACCATCTCAAGCCCTCACAGTCTCTCACACTCACCAGGTGACGTGAGTGAGCAGGGTTCGTACGGTCATGGAAAACCTGGAAAAGTCATGGAATTTTAAAATGGTTATTTCAAGGCCTGGAAAAGTGCTTGAAAAAAATAAAATTCCAAAAGTTTTGGAAAAGTCATGGAAATGTGTTATATTCATATTTTCATGTCGTTCATTTGCGCTGAGTTGTCAGCCAGCGTTTCTCAGATTGGAGTGAGACGAGGAGAAAAGGTGACGTCGTGATCTTCACAATAGAACATCATTGACGTGTGGAGTCTTGGCCAATCAGCGTTCAGATGTGTACAGCGTCTTCATTTCCCTCCGTTACAGTTTAAGTTCCGTTATGTCCCGTTACCGTTCAGACTTGCTGGGTTAAGTTAACGTCCACTGCATGCGACACTTTGTCGACTGTTAACGTTCGTCATTATCACGATTTAGGAGGAAAAAACGTAACGTGATGAAACATGCAGCCCCCCCGTGTTCCGGTTCAGTTCACGCGGTCACTCGTTAACGTTAAACCGGAACACCGGCGCATCTGGTTGCAGGTTGTTTGTTTTAACTCAAAGTAGAATGAGGATGATTTCATGGTCAGAATAACTTTCATGACCACGAAATATGAGGCCCAGATACTGATGAGATGATGAGGTCCAGATACTGATGAG